CTCCTGAGGCTGCAGTACTGTAAGTACCACTCACGCAGCTGCTGTGAGGAGAGAGCTCCTCCAGGTGTAGTACTCCCAGGCTCAGCACCTCCAGACTCAGCACCCCCAGACTCAGCACCCCCAGACTCAGCACCCGCAGGCTCCGCACCCCCAGGCTCAGCACCCCCAGACTCCGCAACCCTAGGCTCCGCACCCCCAGGCTCCGCACCCCCAGGCTCCGCACGCTCAGGCTCAGCACCCCTAGCAGGACGAGAGTCGACAGCTACCTCGACAGGCTCAACCGGGTCTACCTGGGACACACCTGAGGGAGCGGCACCCTGAGGGGGGAGGGGGTCTACCATAGCAGCACCTGGCGCGAGGAAGAGAGGCGGGGGGGGGAGCAGGGCAGTGCGGTAGGGGAAGAGGCGGTAGTAGGGCACGGACTCGTCAAAAGTGACGTCCTGAGAGGGCAGGACACGGCGCGAGGTGGCGTGGTAAAACTGCCAACCAGACGCGTCCGGGACAAAGCCAAGGAAGACACAAGGAACAGCGCGGGAGGAGAGCTTGTCCGCGGACGTATCGCGAACAAAGGCTCGAGATCCCCAGACCCGAAAACGCGACGCATCGCCAACCTCTCCCGTCCAACGCAGTGTCGGGGAAGTCTCCGGCAAGGAGACACGGGGCCAGATGTTGAGCTGATGCGCAGCGTATCGGACCGCAAACGGCCACAGAAAGTGGGGGGCAGCCGCATGGATCAAGGAGGTACGAGCGACCTCCATGACCAAGCCAATGCGGCGCTCAGCAACCCCATTCTGCTGTGGAGAGGCCGGAAGCGTGAACGACTGGCGGATGCCGTGCTCCGCACAGTAGGCTGCCAAGAGGTCGGAGGAGAACTCACCACCTCTGTCAGAGTGCAAGCGCAGGACAGGAAAGTCCGAGTGGAAACGCTCGCTGAGCTGGAGACGAGAAGCGCGGATCCAAGGGATCAAAACATCAGGGACCTCACCCTTGGTGCGCAAGGGGAAGACCGTGGTGTAGCGCGAGTAGTCGTCAACAACTATCAGGAAGTACCTTTCCTGACCCTGACCACGGACGCGGGCTGGGCCCCACACGTCCATGTGGAGCGTCTGCAAAGGAGCAGTCGTCGGGGGAAACGAGGAGGAGTGAGGAGCGGCGCGCTGCCGCCCCTCGACACAGGGAAGACAGGGAGGAGCAGGCGAGGGTGGGAGGGGAGGGAGAACCCTGGGAAGACCAGAGACAAGGTACCGTTTGTGCATGGCACGAAGGCGCTGCACAGACGGGTGACCAAGTCGGTGGTGCCAGAGGACGGTCTCGTGCGCCAGAGAGCGACACGAGCAGGGGGCCGACAGCTGATCTGACGCAGACGCAGACGCAGCTACCTGAGGGGACTCAGTGGTCAGTGTGTACAGGTCCGACCCCGGCTGCCGAGTGAAGGTAGCCAGGTGACGGCCCGTCCGAGCACACGTGCAGTGTGTCACGCGCTCGTAGGCAGGGGTGAACTGGTGAACACCCCCATCCTGGAGCGCACAACCCGCCACCAAGTTCCTAGAGAACGAGGGGAGGTGGAGACCTGACAGTGTGCCCGACGGGACCGCAGGACAAGGAAGGACAGTGGAGGAGGTCGCAATGACCGGACCCCCAGAGGGGTCAGCGAGGGAGACAGCAACTGGCCGAGCAAGCGGCTCAAGGGCAGTGCGGTCACGAAAGAAACAGCGAGAAGCACCTGAGTCCAGTGTGAAGGTGTGTAGTGCCTCAGTCGACTCAGTACCAGGGGGCGCAGACTCACTAGCACCTAGAGCAGCAGCTTCACCAGCACCTGGGGTAGCAGACACGCAAGTACCTGGAGCGGCAGCCTCACTAGCACCTAGAGCGGTAGCCTCACTGGTCCGAATGCCCGGGTCGGGCGGAACACGCAGGTACTGAGCACCCTCTCCACTAGTAGACATCACATACATGGCAGTGAGAATAGCATCAAAGTCTAGAGCATAGATATCAATGTTCTTTTTCATCAGATCAGCCCAGCGGGGCAGCTCAGTGGCATCAGGGAACTGAGTACGCCAAGCGTCGTCGAGGCGAGAGAAGCAGCGCTGCGTGGTGTGCGCCCTCCCACACGTCTGACCAGTGCGGTCACCAGTGCGGATGACGTACGTGCAGCTAAGGCCACCCCCCCCCCCCCCGTGCTGAGAGTACCACTCACGGAGCTCCTGGGGCGACGGAGTGCGCTGCTGGCTCTGGCCACTGCCAGCGCCTCCACGACCACCACCGCCGCCGCCACCTCCTCGACCACCCCCTCCCCTGCCGCCGCCACGACCACCGCCGCCCCCACCACCGCCCCCGCCCCTGCCACCTCCCCCGCCGCTGCCGCCACCACCCCCACCGCTGCCACTAGTCCCTCCAGCCCCACCACCACCCCCACCGCCTCCACCGCCCCCACCACCGCCTCCCCCGCCGTCACCTCCGCCTCCCTTGCCCCCTTTCCCTTGCCGCTGCGGCGCCATCTCGAAGCGGACGCAGTCCCGACCCTCTCAGCACCAAGGAGGTCGACAGCAGAAGCAGAGGCTACAGAGGGAAGAAGGGGGGAAGGGGAACACCCCTCAAAGAAAGGGGTGCGGGGGTCGCCACGAGAGGCACCTACAGCGACTATGCTAGCCTCAGCTGCAAGTAGTTCCTTCTCGAGGAGGGCAATGGTAAGCTCAGTGGGGCAGCGAGATAGGAAGTGATCCCTGACTGCACGCAGAGTGTCAGGGAGGCGGGTGACTAGGTGGTAGAGAGTGAGCCAGAGCGGGGGGGGGGGTTCGTGGCAAGAAACTCATCGGGCATAGCGGCACGGAAGCGGGCCTCACTAGTACGGAGGTGCGTGATGAGGTCAGCGACTGTGTGGAAAGAGGCCAGGTCGGGGAACAGGTAGGGGAGTGAGAGACGGCCTAGCGCGGCAGAGGCAGGTGAGGAGTAGCGGGCAACGACAGCGGTGTACAGTGCCTGTGCAGTCTTGTGCTGGCCAAAGTGCTCGCGCTCATCTATCGGCAGGGAGTTGCGAATAGCAAAGCGAGCGTGGGCGTCACGAGTCTGCCACTGTGAGCGGGCAGTGCTGTCAACAGTAGCAGCAGGGGCAGTGGCATGGCCTAAGGCGTGATCGTACAGTGAGATGTCTTCCTTGGCAGTGAGCTGTAGGAATAGGTGCAGGTCATCGAGCCAGGTGTCAAACTTCACTGGGCGGCCCTCAGCATCGAAAGTTAGCACAGGAGGGCTAGCCATAGTGACAGTAGGAGCAGTAGCAGTAGTAGTAGCAGAAACGGCAGTAGTGACAGAAGCAGTGACAGAATCAGGGGCGCGGCTCGGTAGGAGGCGCGGCTCGGTAGGGCGGCGCGGCTCGGGCCGGGTGACGCGGTTCGGTGGGGCGGCTCGGCTCGGCTAGGCAGCGGCTACTCGAGGTGGGGCACACGAGGGCGTGCAGGGCAGCTGCACCAGGAGCGGCTGCTTCAGGGGCCGGGGGCGGCTGCTCTGGGTCCAGGGGCGGCTGCACCAGGGGCGGCTGCTTCAGGGGCCAGGGGCGGCTGCACCAGGGGCGGCTGCTTCAGGGGCCAGGGGCGGCTGCTCTGGGTCCAGGGGCGGCTGCACCAGGGGCGGCTGCTTCAGGGGCCAGGGGCGGCTGCTCTGGGTCCAGGGGCGGCTGCTCGAGGGTCCAGGGGCGGCTGCACCAGGGGCGGCTGCTTCAGGGGTTGTAGTAGCAGTAGCTTCAGTCAGGAGCAGCTGCAGTAAGCGCTGGAGTAGGAGCTGCAGCAGTAGCACTAGCTGTAGCAAGTGTAGTAGTAGGAGCTGCAGCAGTAGCACTAGCTGTAGCAAGTGTAGTAGTAGGAGCTGCAGCAGTAGCACTAGCTGTAGCAAGTGTAGTAGTAGGAGCTGCAGCAGTAGCACTAGCTGTAGCAAGTGTAGTAGTAGGAGCTGCAGCAATAGCACTAGCTGTAGCAAGTGTAGTAGTAGGAGCTGCAGCAGTAGCACTAGCTGTAGCAAGTGTAGTAGTAGGAGCTGCAGCAGTAGCACTAGCTGTAGCAAGTGTAGCAGTAGGTTCAGTAGCAGCAGCAGTGAGTAGTAGTAACACGGGCCGCGTGCGGGCCAGTCGCGGGCTGTAAGGGCTGCGTGCGGGCCTGGCGCGGGCTTTACGCGCTGGGTGCGAGCCTGACGTGAGCTGTACGGGCTGCGCGACGGCCTGGCGCGGGCTGTACGGGCTGCGCGACGGCCTGGCGCTGGCTGTACGGGCTCCGCGACGGGCCTACGCGGGCTGTACAGGCTACGCGACGGGCCTACGTGGGCTATACGGGCTTCGCGACGGGCCTACGCATTCAGGGGGGGGGGGTCGCACGTGACTAGGAGGGAAAAATCGCGTCTAGGGAACCGTCTCGCCTAGAGCACGGGGTCGAATTTCGCATTTCTCCTAGGGGCGCGACTCGGGCAGTAGATCGAAATAGTAGTGGTGGGCCCTTAAAAAAAAATCGGTCCTAAGGAGCATTGTGCTCTTAATACCATGTTAGAATCACTAGCTAGGGAACGAGAATGATGATTAGGTGAAGGTTGGGGTACAAGACTAGAGTGTCGAGACTATTTGTGTACCCCCTAAGGCTAGCCCCAATATAGCCTAGATACAATTATGCATATGTTTTGACAAGGGCAAGAGAGAAGCAAGCAGTAACACGGAGGCGGCATGCTTTGCCTCTATCTGCTCCTCCGACACCACCGGTTGGGGACGGTCCCACGCTGCAGTGACAAACCGTCAAAAGGGGGTTTAGGAGAGTGAGAGAGAGGGGTGAGAGGGCAAGAGAGAAGCAAGCAGTAACGCGGAGGTGGCATGCTTCGCCTCAATCTACTCCTCTGACACCACTGGCTGGGGCTGATCCCATGCTGCACATATGCAGGGAGAGGCGCACGGGAGAGAGAGAGCAGCATAAGAGATTAAGGGCTCAGGTTGAGTCGTTGCGTTGGGATGAGTGGTAAGAGAGCAGAGGCTAGAGAGCAGGCAAGAGAGCAGGCAAGAGAGCAGGCAAGAGAGCTGGCAAGAGAGCTGGCAAGAGAGCTGGCAAGAGAGCAGGCAAGAGAGCAGGCAAGAGAGCAGGCAAGAGAGCAGGCAAGAGAGCAGGCAAGAGAGAAGGCAAGAGAGAAAGCACGAGAGCAGGCAAGAGAGCAGGCAAGAGAGCAGGCACGAGAGCAGGTACGAGAGCACGCAAGAGAGCACGCAAGAGAGCACGCAAGAGAGCAGGCAAGAGAGCAGGCAAGAGAGCAGGCAAGAGAGCGGGCAAGAGAGCAGGCGAGAGAGCAGGCAAGTGAGCAAGCAAGTGAGCAGGCAAGAGAGCAGGCAAGAGAGCAGGCTAGAGAGCAGAGTGGAGAATCACGGAGGGCATAGCAGCAGCAGCACGAGAGTGGGAGTTTCACAGCTTACTGTTAAGAGAAGCAAGGGCGAGCAAGGTGAGGAGGTTGTGGGAGTAGGATGGAACCAGACAGATGAAACGAGGAGAGAAGGTGTTGAAAGCTTACGATCAAGATAAGAGAGCGTGGCAACAGTGAGGAGGTTGAAAAGCATGATGTGTCCAATGAGTGCCGCCACACCATTGCCGACCCACTTGTCATCCGTTGGGATCGAGCAGCTCTCCAGAAACACCTGCCTCATGGTGGCCGTGGTGGGGAAGAGGGGACCTGTGGACTGCAAATGGGGTACACACAAGGGAGCGAGGAGAGGAGGGGTGATGAGGAAACATGAGCAGCTCTCGGGGCGCAAGGAACTCGTTAACAGCGAGGGCGTTCTGCCCGTACATGAGAGGCGATGTCCAATACGCCCAGATCCACATGTTGCTGATGTCGGCTGGAAATGGGCCGTGGGGGGGGAGGAGGAGGGAAGGGGAGTAGTGAGAGGGCGAGGAGAGATTAAGGGGGCTTGCAGCCGTACATCAATGGAGGTGATGGAAGGGGAGGACAGGGGCAACCGAGCTCTCCAAGCATGCGGTAACCAAGCCGGTCACACAGCTCTTTACACACTCTAGTATTGGCCTGAGCGTGACACAACCAACATGCGGACCTTGACCGTGCTGCGGCCCGCTGCTGCTCACAAGGGTATGTTCAAAGTGCGCCTCACCCAGCATTATCGATGGCAAACCCACCAAGCAGGACAAGGACAATGCCGGCAAAGGAGCTAAAGGTGGTGGAAACCACCATGTTGCGCCCCGATGCTCCCACTCCCTACATATGTGTTATAAGCACGTCTCGCACCTTTTGCAATGACGAACCCGCCCATGAGGACAAATTGGATGTCGGCGAATGAGCCAAAGGTCGTGAACACCACCATGTTGCAACAGGCACCACTCACTATCATCAGCGGGAGCTCCGTGAACTCATTGAAGAGCATCATGACCACACCGAAGAACGTGGCTCCGAGGTAATAGTCGTCGTCTTGCAGGGAGACGTCGAGGGTGGTGCGGAAAAAGGCGGTCATGGTGACGAGCGCCACGAGGATGATCTAAATGGTATGGGCTGCGTAGAGGACGGAGTTGTGCTGCATGAGCAGATACTCGCGGGCGAAGACTGCGCGGAACATCTCCGAGGTGGGCAGCGCGTGGCGCTTGTGGGCGAGGGCGCTGGGAGGGCTCTTTTCTTTTGGGAAGGGCACCAGGTGGGGGTTGGTGTGAGGGGTGAAGGATGAGAAATGAGGAGAGGGGGATTAAAAGAAAGTTGAAAGGAGTGGCAATGCCGTGGGGATAAGGGGCAAGCGCTGGGCTTTGGGAGAAGTGCGTGCACACACTGCGCACAGATCAGCAGCACTTGGCATGTACCGAGAGGCGGGCAGCATTGGCCTTGCCGATCTGCGTCTCCTTAAATGCCGCCTCAAATGCCTGCATTGGCACATAGTGATACGGCTGGCTTTTCCTGCCCGCCCCACCATCTGCCCCAGCCGCTCCCCCCCTCCAGTACTGCCCCTGGTCCTTCATGGACGTCACCTCCTACAGGAAATCCGCCTCCCTTTCCTGGCGGGGCACTCAAAACCCGAGGCGGGAGAAGAAGGGCAGTACCTGCTCCCAGGGCCCATGGAACACCACGTGGCCTTCTGCAAGTAGCAGCACGTCGTCAAAGAGCTCGTAGGTCTCGGGGGCGGGCTGGAGTAGCGCCACGAGCGTGGTGGCGGCGTGGAGGTGCGTGAGGTGGCGCAGGCAGCGTGTGATGAGGAAGGTGGTGGAGGAGTCCAGCCCCGTGCTGATGTCCAGGCCTAGAATCTGACAAAGGGGGGAGAGGGAAGGGAGGGGGAAGCGGGGGGAGCAGGGAGAGTGAGTTCAATCTGCGCACTCTCCCTTTACCTGACCACTTGGCGTGTCATGGCCACTATCACGATCGTAGCAACGTCTAGGGGTGGACAACAGCAGCCACTGCCTCACTCGGATACTCTATCACCGCAGCAGCTTTGCGAGTGGGTTATTCAGCGAGGCCGTCCTGGTGGTGGAGATTATCGTGCTGGAGGTGCTAGACAGCAGCGGTAGCCCGCGCACCCGGACACTCTCTCGCCAAAGAAAATCCGTGAGTGGGTAGTTCAGCGTGGCCGTCCAGGTGGTGGAGGTTATGGTTTTATGGTGGAGGTTATAGTTCAATCTGCGACCTGGGTGAGCTGCAGAGCTATCTTGGCTTGCAGATCACCCGGGACAGAGCACGGCGCACAATCACCCTGACTCAGTCACACATGGTGCAGCAGGTCCTTCAGCGCTTCGACTTCCAGTACTCCTCGCCACAGCCCACTCCTCTGCCTACTGGCCACTCGCTCTCAGCTCCACCTTCGGACGAGTTCGTAGAGCCGAGTGGTACGTATCCAGAGCTTGTGGGTTGCCTTATGTACCTGATGACGTACACATGACCTGACCTCGCGTACCCTCCCAGCCTCCTGTCTCGCTACGTGACTCCCGGTAAACACCGAAAGGTGCACTGGGATGCTGCCAAGAGGGTACTGCGTTACTCATGCAGTACATCGGGCATTGGGCTCGTGCTGTTTGACCGCCGGTTTCGGGGTGGTAGATAAAATGAACTGTAGTCGCGTGCCAAACTGCTGCCACAAGTTCCTCCATGAATTGCTGGTGAATTTCGTGTCGCTGTAGCAAACGATTGCTGCTGGTATCCCGTGCAATCGGACGACGGCGGAGATGAAGAGCCGAGCTGTTTCTTCGGCTGTGATTGATTTTTTGCAAGCTGCGAAATGTGCCATCTTCGTCAGCCGATCGACGATGACCAGGATCGTGTCGTTCTCACTTGCTCTGACCGGTAATCCCGTAACGAAGTCCATCGTCACCTGCTGCCAAGCACGCTCTGGGGGTGGTATTGGCAGCAATTGTCCTGCCGGTCGCTGTCGTGATGACTTCATGAGCTGGCAGGTGGGACACGATGCCACGTGTCGCTTCACGTCGGTCAGCATCTTTGGCCAATAGTAGTACCGCTGCAGATGTTGTCGTGTTTTCTCTACTCCGAAATGTCCTGAGGTAACTCCGTCATGTGCCTCCTGTAGCAGTAATTCCCGCAGTAAAGTGTAGCCTGGTACCCAGATGCGGTCGGTGCTGGCTTTTACGTAATAAAACCCCCTTTGCTGCTGCGAACTGCTGCGAATTTTCTCCGGTGAAGAATGGGTCTGTTAGGTAGCCATGGGTAAATAGTCTTGTAAGCAGTGGGCTGGTTTGGGCAAGTAGTATGGCGTGTATCTGGGCAGTGGGGTGGGTCAGTGCGTTGGCGATGTTCGAGACTACGGAGATAAATTAATCAACGGGAGCTAGACCACGGGCTAGGCACGGGGCAAGAGTGATCTCTGCGTTCGTTCCCTTTGTCGTTTCCTTGTGCACAAACTACTAGTTCACGGGGAGAATGGCAAGAGTTTTACTAGGAAAACATGACAAAAAAAAATGATAGTAACAACATTGGCATCACAGACTACATCAGACCTAGCTACTCTGTTGGTTGACCTCCAGCGCAGCATGGTCGACCGCGATCCAGCGCAGCAGAGCTTGCACCGCTCTAGCGTTGCAGAGTAGCGATTCGCCAACGGTGCAGGTCCATGGTGTGCCAACGCTGCAGCAAGTCGGCTGCACAGCGTTGCCCCCACAGGACAACGGTGCATCTGCTTCGCAGGTGCGTGCAGCTGTTTGGTGCACCACTCCTCGTCACATGCACAGCGCAGACGCCTAGGTCAACTCGATGCCAGAGACTGCGCCCACCAGCCACGTTGACCTCGGGATACCACCTCCGAGGTTGGTCTCGCAGAAGCCACCCCAGCGACCATCGCAGACGTCGCCAGGAACTGCGCCATGCAGCCCCACACCCGTGCCAACGACAAGTCGGGCTTCTTCCCGGTCAGCAGCTGGTACGGCGTCGTCCCCAGCGGTAGCGCTGACCTCTCAGGCCAGTTGCAGGCCCATACGGCTTGCCGCAGAGCAAGGTGCCACCAGTGGTGCTGCACGCCCATGTGCAGCAGGATCGTCCGCACCGACTCCACCACCGTCCTCATCTCCCGCTCTGCCATGCCGTTCTGCTGCGGGGTGTAAGGGCAGTTCAGGTCGTGAATGATCCCCTTGCTGTCCACAAAGGCAGTGAAGTCCTTCCCGAGGAACTCCCCTCCCCGGTCAGAACGCAGCATCATGAGAAGAAACGAGGAATGAAATGACTAAGGGAAAGTTGGGTACAAATGCAAACCCTAGAAAACTGTACCCCATATGTGCTACCCCACTATAGCCTACAGTAGCTATGTCATATAAATCTGACACACCCCCATAGGCAAAGTGGGGGAGAACAAGGGGTCACAAGACCAGTCAAGCAAAGCAAAGCAAGCTCAGGGTGGATCACAAAGTCACCACACATTCCGAGCACAAGTTCAAGGCCACAAGGCCAGTTCACATGCAGGATTACATATATATATAAGGCTAGACAAGCAAGAGCAGGAGTATATATATATGCATCAGTACAAACAAGGTCAAGGGGTGAGCAAGTGAGGCAAGGTGGGCACAAGACCCAGCTGAGTACAGAAGCGCTGATGATCACAAGGCGCAAGTGCCTTGGTGAAGATATCAGCAGTGTTGGCCTGAGAGGCCACGTACGCAAGCCGCAGCTGACCACGCTGCTGTAGCTCACGAGCAAGGAAATAGCGGAGAGCAATGTGCTTCGTTCTATGCTCCAGTCTCTGCTCTCGACACAAGGCCAGCATGGCCTTGTTGTCTACGTACAGCACTAGAGGAGAACGAGGCGGCTCTCCGAGGTCAGTCAGCAGGTAGGTGAGCCAGCGAAGCTCCTGTGCAGCCATGGCCCCGGCGTAGATCTCAGCCTCACAACTGGAGCCGAGAACAGAAGACGAGCGGGTAGCCCGCCACGAAACAGAGCCGGAACCAAGGCTGAAGGTGTAACCCTGTGACGACCGCTGCGTAGCCTGGTCGTCAGCCCAAGAAGCGTCTGCGTGCCCAGTGAGGACCACTGGACTCTGCCCTCCAAGCACAAGCCCCATGCCCGACGTACTGCACAAGTAACGCAACACCCTCTTCGCTGCAGCCATGTGCTCCGGTCTGTGTCTCCCAGGAGCAACATAGCGTGCGAGAATGCTAAGAGGGTATGCGAGGTCAGGTCGTGTGCAGGTCATCAGGTACATCAGGCAGCCAACAAGCTCTGGGTACGGGCCACTCGACTCTACGGACTCATCCGAAGGCAGAGCTGAGAGCGAGTGGCGAGTAGGCAGAGGAGTGGCCTGAGGCGAGGAGTACGTGAAGCCGAAGCGCTGAAGGACCTGCTGCACCATGTGTGACTGAGTCAGGGTAATGGTGCGGCGTGCTCTGTCCCGGGTGATCTGCAAGCCAAGGTAGCTGCGCAGTTCACCCAGGTCTGTGCACGTGTGTCTCTTCTGCAACTCGAACTTCACGTGGGCGAGTCCAGCAGTGTCAGCTGTGGCAAAGACCAAGTCGTCGACGTACACGAGGATGTAGAACGGCGGCAAAGAAGTGTCGGTGCGCAGAAACAGCGACGGGTCGGCAGTAGAGGGAGCAAACCCAAGAGCCGCAAGTGTAGTCCTCAGTGTGTCGTGCCACTCACGCGGTGCCTGGCGGAGACCGTAGACTGGCCGCTGGAGGCTCCACTGGGTGCCAGGAGGAAAAGACCCAGTGAAGCCAGGTGGGCGACGCAGCCAGATCTCCTCGTGCAGGCTGCCCTGCAAGAAAGCAGTGCTGAAGTCAAGAGAGTGCAGCTCGTAGTCGCGGTGAGCAGCTATGTGCAGCAGTACCCGAAGAGTGGTCATCTTCGGGGTGGGAGAGAAGGTCTGAAAGTAGTCAACTCCCTGCCGCTGACTGAAGCCACGAGCCACGTAACGCGCCTTGAAGACAGGCGGAGAACCCGGCGGCCGCTTCACCCTGAAAATCCACATGCCACTGACGATGTTCGCCCCAGGCGGGGGAACCTCGTCAACGTAGGTACCTGTGGACTTCCAGGAAGCCATCTCTGTGTCCATAGCTGCCTGCCACTGAGAGGAGTAGGGACCCTCTATCGCCTCCGCGTAAGAGCGCGGAGTCGGGATGTCAAGTGCATCCGGGTCTCCCTCAGGGGTAAGCAGTACGGACACGAGATGAGGTGAAGCAGCAGCCAAACACTGGAACTCCTCCTGCCTGTCCTCAAGGACGTCCGTGCCAAGGGCACACTCACCCCCGACGGACGGAGGACAGACAGACTCAGACTCAGCGACAAGACAAGCAGCGTAGTCTAGACGACAGCGAGCAGCAAAGTCGACGAGCTCAGCAACTAGGGCAGACGCAGCAGTGGACGCAAAGGAAGGGTCAGTGACGACAGTAGCAAGGAGACGCGTGACAGTAGGACTGGCAGCACGAAGAGAGTCCGACTCTGGGTCGGGAAGAGCAGGAAGAGAGGACTCAGGAGGAGAAGGCAAAGGGGCACGCAGAGGAGCAGTGGACGGACGCAGAGACATCCGGTGCGTGCCAGGGACAGGATGAGGACGCTGACGCGAACCACGACCACTAGCGCGAGCAGTACGGACAGGCGACGCAGGACGCGACGCAGGCTCACGACGCTCAGCAAGACCTCCAGTAGGACCAGTGTAGGGAGAAGGAGCGGGCAGTGGGGAGGCCGGCTGTAACTGTAACTGTGACAGGACAGGCTGTGGACTCTCTAAGGGAGGAGGAGGGCCAGTATAAGGCGGGAGACTAAGAACCTGCTGAAGGAGCGGAACGAAGTACGGCCGAGGCCGCGCGGCGACTCCAGACACAGCAGGGACAGCACCAGTACCCCAAGCGGCAGCACCAGCGCCAGCAGCAACTCCAGCTCCAGTACCTCCAGCAGCACCAGTAGCACCCCCAGCAGGCCCGCCTCCAGGACCGACAGCAGTAGCCTCAGCGTCAACACCCTCAGCAGCTCCAGCTCCAGTCGTACCCGCAGGCCCAGCAGCTCCAGTACTCCCAGTACGAGCACCTCCGGGACCCGCGGCACCAGCACCCTCAGTAGCCGAAGAACCTCCAGCTCCAGCAGCACGCCTCCAGCGCCGGGCAAACCACTCGCGCAGCTCCTGTGGAGAGAGTGGCTCCCGCCGAGACGAAGCACCCTGAGAACCTCCAGGCTCAGCACCGCCAGACGCCACACAAGCAGGCCTAGCTCCCTCAGGCTCCACACCCCCAGGCCCAGCACCTCCAGGCGTAGCACCCCCAGGCTCAGCACCCCCAGGCTCAGCACCCCCAGGCTCAGCACCTCCAGTAGTAGCACCTCCAGGCTCAGCACCCCCAGGCTCAGCACCCCCAGTAGTAGCACCCTCAGGCTCAGCACCCCCAGGCGTAGCACCCACACGCTCAGCACCCCCAGAGTCAGCACCCCCAGGCTCAGCACCCTCAGCAGCACCAGAGTCACCAGTAACCTCGACAGGCTCGACTGCGTCTACCTGGGACACACCTGAAGGGGCAGGACCCTGAGGGGGGAGGGGGTCTACCGGGGGGGGACCTGGCACAAGGAAGAGCGGTGGTGGGGGGAGGGACGGAGTGCGGTAGGGGAAGAGGCGGTAGTAGGGGACCGACTCGTCAAACGTGACGTCCTGGGAGGACAGAACACGGCGAGAGGTGGGGTGGTAGAACTGCCACCCTGGCGCGTCAGGGGGGAAGCCAAGGAAGACGCAAGGAGCAGCACGAGGGGACAGCTTGTCCGCAGACAAGTCGCGGACAAACGCCCGAGATCCCCAGACACGGAACGCAGACGCATCACCAACCTTCCCCGTCCACAGCAAAGCAGGGGAGGTCTCCGGTCTGGAGACCCTAGGGTGAAGGTTGATCTGATGCGCCGCGTACCGAACCGCAAACGGCCACAGAAAATGGGGGGCAGCCGCATGCATCATGGACGTACGGGCGACGTCCATGACCATGCCAATGCGGCGCTCAGCAATCCCATTTTGCTGTGGAGAGTCCGGAAGCGTGAAGGTCTGGCGGATGCCTCGTGCTCGACAGTAGGCTCGCAGAAGGCCAGAGGAGAACTCTCCACCTCTGTCAGAGTGCAGACGCAGAACAGGAAAGTCCGAACCGAAGCTCTGCCTGAGCTGGAGACGAGCTGCGCGGATCCAGTCGATCAACACCTCAGTGACATCACCCTTGCTGCGCAAGGGGAAGACTGTGGTGTAACGCGAGTAGTCGTCAACCACCAGCAGGAAGTAGCGCTCGTGACCCTGTCCACGGACGCGGGCCGGGCCCCACACGTCCATGTGAAGCGTCTGCAGCGGGGCCTCTGTCGGAGGAAACTGGGAGGAGTGAGGGGCAGCCCGCTGCCGCCCCTCGACACAGGGGACGCAGGTAGGGCCAGGCCCCGGAGGAAGGGGAGGGAGGGACCGGGGAAGACCAGAGACAAGGACACGGGAGGCCATGCCTCGGAGACGAAGCAGGGAGGGGTGACCAAGGCGGTGGTGCCAGAGGAGAGTCTCGTGAGACAGGAGGCGACACGAACAGGGGGCAGACTCAGGACCAGACCTGGACGCTGCAGCAAACACCTGACCTGACGCAGCTACCTGACCAGACGCAGTGACTGGAGGAGACGCAGTGGTCAGGGTGTACAGGCTCGACCCCGGCCGACGGGTAAACGTGGCCAGGTGTCGGCCAGTCCGAGCGTCCGTGCAGTGGGTCACCCGCTGACTCCCAGGAGTGAACTGGTGAACCCCCGCATCCTGTAGGTCAGCACCACTCACCAAGTTCGTAGAGAACGAGGGGAGGTAAAGACCAGACAGGGTGCCAGAGGGGGCCGCCGGACACGGGAGGACAGTGGAGAAGTGAGCAAGGACAGGACCCCCAGAGGGGTCTGCCAGAGAGACCGCAACTGGCCGGCCAAGCGGCGTGAGTGTGGTGCGGTCTCGAAAGAAGGAGCGAGAAGCCCCCGAGTCAAGGGTGAAGGTGTGGGAGGCCGAGGCCGACGCAGAACCTGAGAGAGCAGACTCACCAGCACCTGAGAGAGCAGACGCACCTAGAGCAGCAGCCTCGCTAGCACCTAGAGCAGCAGCCTCACCAGTACCTAGAGCAGCAGTCTCAATGCCCGGGTCGGGCGGAAAACACCGGTAACAGTCACCCTCATCACTAATAGTCACAGTATACATGGCAGCAAGAATAGCATCAAAGTCAAGGTCAAAGACAGCCACACCCGCCCTAGACAGCTCACCCCAGCGGGGGATCTCAGTGGCCTCAGGGAACTGGTGACGCCAAGCGTCCGTCAGGCGGCCAAAGCAGCGCTGGGTGGAGTGCGCACCCCCGCACTGCTCACCCGCGCGGTCGCCGGTGCGGAGGACGTAGGTGCACGGACCAGTACCCCCACCCCTCTGGCGTGCAGCGTACCACTCACGGAGCTGCTGAGGGGAGGGGATGTCACGAGTGCGCTGCTGCTGCTGCTGCTGCTGCTGGCGCTGACCACCACCGGAGCCGACTCTCTGCGCAGCGCCACCCCGACCAGCTCCACCTCCTCCGCCGCCTCCTCCTCCACCGCCGCCACCTCCGCTCCCACCGCCACCGCCGCCGCCGCCTCCGCCTCCACTGCCACCACCGACACCTCCACCCCCGCCACCACCCCCACCGCCACCCCCACCCCCTCCACCGCCTCCACCGCCGCCTCCACCGCCCCCGCTAGCTCCTCCAGTGCCCCTGCCCCCCTTGCCCTTGCCAGGGCGGCGTCTCCCGCTAGGGGTAGACGCCGCACCGACCGACTCAAGCCCAACGAGGTCGGCCGCAGCAGCAGAGGCAACAGAGGGCAAAAGGGGGGAGGGGGAACACCCCTCAAAGATGGGGGTGCGAGGGTCACCACGAGAGGCTCCTACAGCTACTATGCTCTTCTCTGCTGCTAGGAGGGACTTCTCGAGGAGGTCAACGGTGAGAGTGGTGGGGCAAACAGAGAGGAAGTGGTCCCTGACTACGCGAAGGGAGTCAGGGAGCCGGGTGACTATGTAGTAGAGGGTGATGTACATGGGGGGGGGGTTCTTGGCGCAGAACTCTGCAGGAAGCGCAGCGCGGTAGCGAGTGTCACTAGTGCGGAGGTGCGTAATGAGGTCAGCGACTGTGGGAAAGGCAGCAAGGTCAGGGAAGAGGTACGGTAGCATGAGGCGGCTAAGTGCAGCAGTGGCAGGGGAGGAGTAGCGTGCAACTACAGCGTCGTACAAGGTCTGAGCACTCTTGTACTGGCTAAAGTGCGCACGCTCAGAGGTAGGTAGGTGGCGACGCACAGCAAGACGTGCAGCAGCATCGCGCGTGGCCCACTGGGAGCGAACAGTGGCGTCAGCAGCAGCAGCGGGGGCAGGAGAGGCACCAGAAGTGAGGTCAAAGAGGGAGAGGCCGTCTGCCCTGTCGCACTGTAAGAAAAACTGCAGGTCATCTATCCAGACGTCAAAGTCAATGGCCCGACCCTCAGCGTCAAAAGCGAGGACACTAGGGGTAGCCATGACAGCAGTAGACTAGCAGCGCAAACAGTAGGGTGAGGGCAGTGCTGTGAAAGGGGCGCTGCTCTTACCGGACAGGGCGGCTCGGGTGGCTCGGCTGTAGGGCGGCTCGGCGGCTCGGTTGCTGGGCGGCTCGGCGGCTCGGCTGCTGGGCGGCTCGGCTGCTGGGCGGCTCGGCGGCTCGGCTGCTGGGCGGCTCGGCTGCTGGGCGGCTCGGCTGCTGGGCGGCTCGGCTGCTGGGCGGCTCGGCTGCTGGGCGGCTCGGCGGCTGGGCGGCTTGGCTGCTGGGCGGCTCGGCGGGGCCGCTGAGAGGGCGGCGTCCGGGGCCGCTGGGAGGAGGCGGCGGGGCCGCTGAGAGGAGGCGGCGGGGCCGCAAAGGTAGGTGGCGGGGCCGCAGGTAGGTGGCGGGGCCGCTAGTAGGTGGCGGGGCCGCATGTAGGTGGCAGGGCCGCTGGTAGATGGCGGGGCCGCACAGGCAAGTGGCGGGGCCGCGGAGGTAGGTGGCGGGGCCACACAGGTAGGTGGCGGGGCCGCGGAGGTAGGTGGCGGGGCCGCACAGTGAGGTGGCGGGGCCGCGAAGGTAGGTGGCGGGGCCGCACAGGTAGGTGGCGGGGCCGCGGAGGTAGGTGGCGGGGCCGCACAGTTAGGTGGCGGGGCCGCGAAGGTAGGTGGCGGGGCCGCACAGGTAGGTGGCGGGGCCGCGGAGGTAGGTGGCGGGGCCGCACAGGTAGGTGGCGGGGCCGCGAAGGTAGGTGGCGGGGCCGCGTAAGGTGGCGATGGGCGCGACGGGCACGACGGGCGCGACGGGCGCGACGGGCGCGACGGGCGCGACAGGCGCGACGGGCGCGACGGGCCGAAAGGGCGGCGCGAAGGGCCGTAGGGGCGGCGCGACTCGGGCCGGAGCAAAACGCGCTCCGGGCAGGAAAAAAAAAAAAAAAAAATCGTGGTGGTGGGCCCTAGGAATCGTTCCCACTAGGGAACCTGCTCGATACCATGAGAAGAAACGAGGAATGAAATGACTAAGGGAAAGTTGGGTACAAATGCAAACCCTAGAAAACTGTACCCCATATGTGCTACCCCACTATAGCCTACAGTAGCTATGTCATATAAATCTGACACATCAGCACCGACTTCTTCGTCTGCCGCTCAGCCACCGCCAGCCACCGCACGAACTCCTGTAGCACGTCCGGATTCTTGGCGACCGGCCTCACCCACACGTAGCGGGTCTTGCGGTCCTTAAGCAGCAAGAAGTATAAGCTGCCATCCTTGGCAGCCACACGAAACGGCCCACTCGGGTCAATGTGCACGACGACCAGCACGTCGTCGGCGTAGGAGCCCTGGTCGAGAAAGGTGTGTCGCGCCAGCTTCCCCCCGACGCACGAGACACACGGCGAGTCGGCGCCGGACGCTGACTTGAGGTCCAGCCCAGTGTCGACCGCATGCTTCGCCGAGCTCCGGATGGTGTCCATGCCGACGTGCGCGAGCCTTGCATGTAGCCGGTCTAGCGTGGACTTCGTCGCCGAGATGATCGCCCGTAGGGCCACCACCTCCGGTGTGGGCGTTGTCGACTTCACCGAGCAGGGACACAGGTCGGTGCAGAGGACACGGCGGGTGTACGTCGCCCGGCCGAGCACTTCCCCTGACGCCGAGACGAGCAACATCTCGTCGCCATCTTCCTTCAGTTTCACCCAGTTCTCCTTCAGCAGGCCGGCCGACAGCAGGTTCGCGTGCACGTCGAGGACGTAGAGCACGGCGGGGATCAGCACCTGCTTCCCGGCCTCCCCTTGCAGGGCGACCGTACCCCGGCCCTGGACGTCCTGCAGCGCCCCATTGAAGCCGCGCACGTGCTTGACGTCACCGCTCGGCTGCAAGTCGACGAAGATATCCTTCGACCACATCAGGTGGTGAGAGCAGCCGCTGTCGAGCAAGACCACCGCCGGGTTCGCCTGCACAGCTGCCGCCACCGCCTGGAAGTCCTCGCCGGCCTCCGGCGCCAGCGAGACGGTCTGCTTCACGACGCCGACCAGCGAGCACGACGCTTCCTTGTTGTCTCGCCCCTTGCCGCCTGCGGAGGAGTCGGCGTCCTTCGCCGAAGTCGACTTGTTCGACTTCTGCTCCTTGCGCGGCTTACTCTCCCGGCGAGGGCAACGCCCAGCCGACCTCCCTCGGCCACTCTTGGTGTCGTCGTTGTCTGAGTCACTGCGGTCAGGGCACTCGAAGGAGAGATGGTCGGGGTCGCCGCACAGCCAGCACTCCCGACGTCGACTTCCTCCTCCACGACCGCTCTCCTTAGCCGACTTCTTCTTGTCGGCATCCTTTGGCGGCCTCCCGCCTTTGCTTCCACCGCCGCCAGACTGCTCGCGCTGCCCTGGTCAGCCTCCCTGCTTCGCTTGGGCGACAAAGTTTGCCTGCGGTAGGAGCTCCAATGACTGCTCGGCCTCCTGCATCGCCTCGTCCCGCGGGATGTACGAGGTTAGGGAGTCCTCATTGAGCGTTGCACGAGTGCTCGGCACCACTGACAGCCGCTTCATCATGTTGTAGCTGCTCGGGAGCCCCTTCAGGACATGGGTGACGTACGACGCCGTGGAGTACTGCATGCCGGACATCCTCATCGTGGCGAGAAGTCGCCGCACTCGGTTGCAGTAGTCTGTCACTGTCTCTTGATCGCCCATCTGCAGATGCGTCATCTTCTCTTCGAGCTGGCCGATGTACAGGTCATCGGTAGCCTGGTACGTTGACTCGATGAAGTGCCACGCCTGGTGGCCGGCGTCCAAGTAGTCCCTGCACGGCTTCAGGGCGATCTGCACGCCCGGCGAGCAGCACCGCGAGATGACCGTGAAGGTCAGCAGCTGCACAACACGAAACTCCGCACGCAGGTCGGGGTATTTCTCCAACGGCGTCACCACAGTGCCAGCGGCGAAGCCCATTAGCCCGGCCATCTCTAGCTGAGGCTCAATTGCCTCCTTCCACGTGAAATGTCAGGTCGACCGACCAGCAGGGGGGTGACAGAGATTCTGTCCGGCGTAAACTTGAAGTAGCCGTAGCTCGACGCAATCCCGCCCGCAGTCACGTGGGTCGCCGGCATCGGCGACAAACCGCTTCGTCGCCCTCCGACGTCGCCTTGCAAGGACCCTGCAACCTCTGACGACCGCATCACGTGTATCACACCTCGCTGCCTCGAGGTGCCTCCCGCACAGCTACCGACTTGGTCACCGCCGGCGTTGACGCCCACGTCGACGCCTCCTTCACTGTTCACCGGTCGAGGAGAGGCTGGTCGAGCAGGGTGCTCCTCCGCCCACACCGAGCGGATGCATGCCTCGATGACCGCCAACGGTAGGTTTGGCCCGTACTCGTTGGCCTCATGGCGTCTCCTCGCGTCCTCCAGCCGTGCTTCCAAGGTGTCTGCAACACCTGTGTCACCTACGCCAACCATGGTGGTGACTAACGCACAGCTGCCGGCCTACGAACAACTTAGGTAAGGGACTACTAAGTTGAATACACTGAAAACTACGCCGTGGTGCCGTCCACGCTCACCGCACCATTCGGAGATAACTTAATCAACGAGAGCTAGACCACGGGCTAGGCACGGGGCATGAGTGATCTCTGCGTTCGTTCCCTTTGTCGTTTCCTTGTGCACACACTACTTGCTAGTTCACGGGGAGAATTGGCAAGAGTTTTACTAGGAAAACATGACAAAAATGATAGTAACAACATTGGCATCACAGACTACATCAGACCTAGCTACGCTGCTGGTCGACCTCTAGCGCAGCATGTGTCAGAATATGTTGTTTGTGTAGCCTGCAGTGGGGTACTCTATAGTGGTACAGCCCCTTAGGGTTTGCTATTTGTATCCTGCTGCTTGCTAGTTCAATCATTCCTTCTCAATTCTGTTCCTACACACATTCCTAGCTCGTACTTGGCTCCTCGTTACTAGTCCTACTGTGGCCTAGGCTACTAAGCCTAGGCCGTACTCCTACTACTTCTGACATGGTATCAGAGGGCGGCATGTCTGCCGCCTTCCTGTGTATGGGCCCACCACCCGCTTCCGCTGCCGTACTGTCCGCCGCGCGCCCCGTGGTGCGCGGCGGCGAAACCCTAATTTCTGCCCGCCGCGCGCTCGGGGCGCCTGGCGGTTTTCCCTTCCGTGGCGCCCGTCGTGGTGCCCTTGGGGGGGCCTCCGCGGTCCCCTCCCGTCGAAGCGCCCGTCGAGGCGCTCTCGGGGACCCGCGCGGCCTCCCCTCCCGTCGCCCGTCGAGGCGACCTCGGGGACCCGCGCGGCCTCCCCTCCCGTCGCCCGTCGAGGCGACCTTGGGGGCCCGCGCGGCCTCCCCAACAGTCGCCCGTCGTGGCGACCACGGGGGCCGCGCGCGGTCCCCTCCCGTCGCCCGTCGAGGCGACTTCGGGGGCCGTGCGCGGCCCTCCCCGTCGCCCGTCGAGGCGACTTCGAGGGGCCCGCGCGGCGCCCTCCCCGTCGCCCGTCGAGGCGACTTCGGGGGGCCCGCGCGGCACCCTCCCCGTCGCCCGTCGAGGCGGCTCTGGGGGCTCGTCGCGGCGCCCTCCCTGGTGCCCGTCGCGGCGCCCCGGGGGGGGGGCAGCGCGGCTCCCTTCTCGTCGCCCCTCGGGGCGCCCTGGGGGCCGTGCGTTTTCCCCCCCCCCCCCTTCTGCCTTTCAACTGCGGCGGCCGCCCCTGGAGCCGCCCGCCACTGCAGCAGCAGCCCCTGGAGCCGCCCGCCACTGCAGCAGCAGCCCCTGGAGCCGCCCGCCACTGCAGCAGCCGCCCCTGGAGCAGCCCGCACCTGCAGCAGCCGCCCCTGGAGCAGCCCGCACCTGCAGCAGCCACCCCTGGAGCAGCCCGCACCTACAGCAGCCGCCCCTGGAGCAGCCCGCACCTGCAGCAGCCGCCCCAGGACCCGCGCGAGCCGCCTCTGCAGAAGCCCGCCCCGTTCCCCCCCCCCCCCCGTGCTGCCCATTGCTCCCATTCCACCGTGCGTTCCGCGGTGGCTGGGGTGTGGGGTGGCGAGCATGGGGGTGAGAGGTGTGGGTTCTCCCCTCCTCCTTTTTCGTCTCCCACTGCTGCAGCTGCCGCTGAGGGGGGTGGAGGTGTGGGAGTCGTGGGGAGTGGCACTAGGGGGGTGATGTGGGAGTGGAGCTAGGGGTGAAGCAGGGGGTGTGTGAGAGGGGTGTGGGACTGTTGGGGGAGGTTGAGTGGAGGCTGCTGTCTTGTCGTCCGCAGCACCTGTAGTCCGGGGCGCACTGTCCTGGTAGCTCAGAGAGCCTGCTGCACCTGTTGCCCATGGGTCCGTTGCTCCTGCCGCTCGTCGCAGCCGCAGAGCCTGTTACTCCTGTATTCCGGGACGCACTGTCTCGGTAGCCACTGAGAGCCTGCTGCACCAGTCGCCCGTGGGTCCGTTGCTTCTGCCGCTCGTCGTAGCCGC